AATAGGGTGAATACATCTCATTACACTGATTTACTGGTAGTCTCGAAACCCTACTCTTATACGAATATAGCATTTCAGAGTTATTATCAGAAAGCTTATGGCAAATTTCACTTTCCTACATAAACCATATGATTTTATAGCTAAATACCTATTTATTACAGAAGATTTTACTACTATATATGAACTCTTTATTTTATTTTTATAGTTAATGCAGCAATTGCATAAGATGAATGATTTCATGGGAATAGAGCAAGCTGATGAGGCTCTTAGCTCTACTGTGCATATACCCGATAGTAAGTTTCCTTTTTACATTTTTATCAGGCGAAGACTTAACATGGAGTGTATCTTTAGTGCTTCTTTTCTTTTGCATAAAACATTATCTTCTTAAACATTTATAAGAGATATATATTTTTCATATATAAGGCTAATACTTTAACAAAATGTGGAATATACAGACCAATCTTAACTTTCTACTCGTTTTCTCTTACGCAACAATATCTTCAGCTGGGCAAATTCAGATTAACCAGTCAAGCAACAAGCATCAAACTACTCTCAACCGTCGCGCCTCAACCGAGTTTGCTTACAACGATCAGGGCAAGTATGAATCGGTTAGCTCTTCTGATTGCACAAAAGATTGTCTAAATGTGGGTGCTTTCATAGATAAGATGGAAACGGTGACTGCTATTGCATCTCGCGACACTTTAAAAATCGATAGAGATCATTACCTTGGGCCTAACTTCCGCAAAGCCGACGACACTCATATTAACACAAGTTTTGGCGACAAAGCAGAATTTATTAGTGATGAACACAAGCAAGGAGATGTGAAAGCGGCCTCGGTAAATGGATATCGGAAAGGGTCAAATCAGACCGAGACCAATATGAATACAGGGCCAGATACTCCCGCCTCCACAGATAGTGATACCAAAGAAAGGGACAAGGAAATAACTGATGCGGAGGAGATGAATGCAATTAACACCGTAGGGCCCAGCGCCCTAAGCGAAGCTGTGAAGTCGGTAAATGTCCAGAGGAACGCAAAAGCTAGTGGAATGTCGGGCACATGGCCGGATCTTTCTGGTACTCTCAATCGGCGGCCTACAAGGAGCGATGTAGGCCAACCTATTGCACAATAATAACATACATTTTATTTGTATTTAATTTTAATTGCATTATTTTCACGGCTAACTTAAGCTCACATCATCTATATAGTACCCTGGAGTGTTCCTAAAATTAATCAATTTTTTTCAGAACTATGCCAATAAAGGCTTTCCTTAAGTGTGGCTTCTACGGTTCATATATCCTATTTGTGAGACGAACAGAGAGATATGCAAGTTGAATTTTCTTACTCGTTATTACTATTTTAAAGGCTAAATCATTGGTAGAAATGCAATTGAAAGTTGATTGAGCTTTCTAAAGCTTGAGGCAAAATATCCCACACAACCAGCTTGAATTATATATGTGGTTAAGAGTCTACGAATTTGCTTATGGGGATAAGACTATTTTGCGTTAATTAGCGAATATGGTATCCGGATCGTAGAACTCATTTGCGAGTTATAAGGAGACGTGATATTTTTGAAACGCTATGATTTGCCTGCATATAATAAACTTATCTATCCCAAAGTCAGAATTAATGAGCTTTCTTCTGCCTTAATTAAACATATTTTGGGCTCACATTTTTTCAGT